TTTTGATGGAAATGTAGCATTGACAGAAGGGCGGACGAGTGAATTTTTTTGTAGGTCAGAATCTGGGGTTGGACTGGCCAAGAGAAATACCTGGAGTTCGCCGCAAATACATCAGTAAAATGTCTCTACAAAATGGGTTTATATACGAACTTCAGATATCCAATGCCTAAATCGGGTTAGTGTACAAAATTGCTTCCAAGAGAGAACGGATATTAGTTTCAAATATATCACACGAAGCGAAGTAAATTCGAACCTTCTGTGGTACTGATCATATCGCAAAGTCACACTTCACTGTTATACTACTTGTAGTTGATGTTTTACTGTGAATGCATTCGTCACTTGAAATTCATTAGAAATAATCTTTGACAGACGTTGGAAATATGTTCGTTTCTTGTGTAGGCATTCATGTGAGTACACTGTAATGACGCTGTGGTTCTGAAGTTTGACAGAATTGCATTATAATTGTCGATTTAAAATGTCTTATGGTGTTCAGATCAACTTGGCTTACCAGAATTCGTTGCTGGTGCAATGGAAAACTACGGTTTGATCATCTATAAGTATCAGTTTATCGCATTCGATCCTGAAGTAAGTGACTCGTTCACTCGTTAAATCAGCATTTACAATAATTAATCAAGAGTAAATATTACAACCATCAATGCATTCTTCATTCTTTAACAACCTTGTTTCCGTACAATTGACGATGTGAGCGCAAAAAATCATATATCTTTGTCAGTTTCATCTTAATCATTGATTTGGCAGTCACAAATGCCTAGAAACCGTCTTCATTGGAATCATTCGTTGATGTTTGTCTTGATTGCTCAGATTCAATCAACGTACTACAAACAAGCCGCAGCACGAGTGATGTGTCACGAATTGGCGCATCAATGGTTTGGTGATACTGTGACCGCACTGTGGTGGGATGATCTGTTCCTTCAGGAGGGCTTTGCGGCCTTCTTCGAGAACTACGGTCTCAGAATGGCATTGCCTGAACAGATTCCATTCTTGGTTTGTTTCTCTTCTTGTTTATCGGGCATTATTTGTGTGGACTTTTAACGAGACTTCCTCATTTACCGAATTATTGACACGAAATGTATTCTGTGGGAAATATGACGAACAAAATTCTTTCTAGTAGCCAC